GCAGGCCTCGCGCGTGAGCACCCGGGACACGCACCACCGAGAGGGAAACCTCCGGGCTTCCCAGAGGGGCCGGCGGGCTCCGCCCTGCTTCCGGCTCGCCGCTGGTTGGCGGAACTCACGGTCTGGCGGGAGAGAGGACCTGTGAGCCGGGGCCTGTCAGGCGAGGCGTCTCGGCTCCTCCGTGGTCTGGGCTAGCTTGAGAGCCTTGACCTGGAAGAGTCTGGGCGAGGGGGCCCGTAACTTGGGCCCCCAACCTGCCAGCAGTGATGGGTTCATCCATCTTCCTCAGAGTTTTCTGCACCCCTTTCTGTGCCCTCCCTCCTAGTGGGCAGCTGGAGATGCTGCCATCAACTGCTTACCGGTACTCCGAGCGGGCCTGCGCTTGGCGTCGCCGAGCGGGGCTCTTGAGCTCTTTTACCGGCTTTGACCCATGGCCGGGCCTCCACCTGCGTTTTGTACTGTGGGCCTTCTCGGGCCAGGCGCCCCCTCCCGGCTTTCTCTTCAGAGGAGCCCTCTCGGACGTCGCGTCAAAGTCGCACAGGTTGTAACCAATACTGTTGCAAGGGGGAAAGTGTCCAGGGGGAACTGAGCTCAGCTTCGGCTTGTACAGAGGTGGCCCGGCCTTTGAAAGGGAGAATGAGGGAGTAGGGAGGAGGCGAGTGGAGGCTCCGTAGAGCAGAGGATCAAGTGAAACTCGCCTGGGTTTGCTAAAGGCGCTTGTGGGAGTTAGGCTCCCTCCCGCGGAGACTGGGAGACGGAGGGAGACCCTGTCTGCAGGAGATGGCTGGAACACACAGTACACTCTTTTTTTTTAAATTTGGGTGGAGGAGGTAGTTAGGTTTATTTATTTATTTTTACAGGAGGTACTGGGGATTGAACCCAGAACCTCGTGCATGCTAAGCATACGCTCCACCACTTGAGCTATACCCTCCCCCCATAGTACACTCTTTTGACAGCCTTGAGTTTTCTCAGGCAGACATTCTCAGAGGGGGTAGGGTCGTCCTAGGGATGTGGCCTTGAACTGTTGGAGATGATGTTAATGTTTTGTTCAAGTGTTTATAAGCCAAGGTTAAGGCCTAGCTGAGAAAGGGCTCAGAGGTGCCTGGTTAGAGTTTGGTCAAGTCACTGGACACATTCGGTAAAAACTATCTTCTGTTCCAACCCAAGCAGTCACTGAGGCCCGGATTATCCTCTAGCAGAGCCTCAGTTCTGGATAATGGGGTATGGTGGCATATCTTGAGAAGCATTGTGCCCTGCCAGTAGGTAGAAGGAGAAGTTATAACTCTGTGGGTGAGGGGAGGGGCCAGGATGCAGTGGAGTGGTAGGGCAATCACTGTTCTTAGAGTTCCAGGAGTCCAGGGATGGTGGTGAGAGATGTGAAGGGGAGCAATGCACCTATGGGCTGCAAGAGGGGAGCAGTTTCACTTGGAGCTCTTTTCTCCTTACTTAGATCTGAGACTTTTCTAAAATCTGAAAGCTGTACAGGAAACCAGGGGACATCAGCCAGGCTTCAGACAGCGTGGTCCCAGGTGAGCAGGCTTCCTGACAGCTTTTCTTAAATCAGCTCTCAGAGAAGTCAGTGTAGGACTCAGGCCTGACTTAGCTTCCCCTTTGCCAAGCAGTTGTGGCAGGTGTGTATGTGTGTTTTATGCACATGAGAATGTGTTTGGGGAAAAGTGGTTTGAGCTAAGACGAGATTATCCAGACTCGGAGATACCTTTGGTTAAGAGAGAGGACATGATTTTCAGAAGATCTATTTAGTTGCCTGAGAGGGAAGCACCTACCAGTACAATTTTCTAGAAGCTAGAAATACACATGATTTTGTACAGACACAGACTACCAACAGGCAGGCCTCCTGTGTCAGTAGTTCACACCTGTCTTTGGAGGCCTTGGGACTTAGAAGAATTTGGAAGACACCTTGGGGATACTAGGTTAGTAGAGCATGAATCTAGGAGGGACAAGAGGAAGACTGCAAAACCAATGACATTAGGCAGTTCAGACAATTGTTAGGGAAACAGAGAAGGACTAAGTAGTGCAGCAGAGGCTGTGGGGTGTGGAGCCATGGACTTCTTTGTAATATTTGCAGGGTGTTTAAAATGCTTTCCAGCTCCCAGAAGAAACTATGGGTATTGGTTGGGCTTTTCTAGCTGTGTGGCCTCGAATGCCTTCTGAACTTCTGGCTTCAGTTTCCTTACCTGTAAAATGAGGATGGTAATAGGATCGACCTCAGAAGTGAAGGTGGAAAGAGATGATGCTTATAAAAGCCTTCACACAGTTTCTCGCAATATGAAGCTCCCATAAACCTTAGCTATTACATAAAGACTGTTTGACTAGTGCAAAGAAACTAAATGACTATAAATGGAGAGCAACAAAGTAGTGTACTTTAAAACATCCTAGCTTTTACTTTGAGATTGCTATTGCTATCTAGATTTCTCTGTTTAGTTTCAATATCTATTGATATGTGTAGTTACAAAAGGGAGCTGGGCTGGAGCAATGTGCAGCAGATGCCTAAATACAGCAGACTTCGATTATACAGTGTGTGAAAAGGCCCCATCACTGGGCATTTGACACAGTAGGGGAAAAGTCTCTGAATACTGTAGCACCTGCTGCCATGTAGGAAAAGCCATTCCTGGTTCGGTTACTATCCAGGCCCTCTGTCATGTAGTTGCACTAACTGAAGATTCCTTTGTAATTAAAACCTTTCTGGGTAGCACTAAATTTCACACAAATATGTTAAAAGTAGTTCTACATCGATCACTTTGCTAATAGTACTGAAAATGACAAGCCTGCTGCTCTCTAATTTTTCATAATTGTCACTAACAGACATGTTTCGCCTCCTCTTTAATATTTATAGGCCCTACTCCTACTTGGAGTATGTTCTGTTAATCACTATTTAAGGACTGTGTAACAAGAAAGATGTGTATATTCTTATTCTAAGAGAAGAGACTATAAAATGACATATACATTCAATTCCTTAAAGTTATGTGTGCTTGTGAAGGAGTCTTGAAACAGAATAAGCAAAATTAAAATGCTTAATGTTTAGATTGCGGGATTCAGGGGGCTTTTCCTTCTATTCTTTTATAACTGGTATGCAATAGGTAGGACTTAGGAAAAAAATCAAAATTCAAACTTAGTGCATTCAGATGCAGTTTGAGCATCCGGGTCAGAGTCTACAAAGGGCATTTATCCCAGAGTCACTGTCAGATCATCTCTAAGAAAAACAGTTAAATTATAGGAAAAAAAGACAATCATTTTGATTTCTGGAAATTATATTTATTGACTGTGTTTTCCAATAGTGATTAAGAAGAAAGCTTTTGGGTGATAAGTAGGGTCCAGGCAAGTTGTACACACACCAGCTTTCTTCACAGCTAGCCTATAGGTGACAGGAACCTCTTAAGAACCATTTTACAGTAGCAGTTTAGAGCAGGAGAGGAGAACTTGGGATCTCTGCGGTCCTGTTTGATGGACAGGACAGGAATTTGTCCAGCTCATGACCCATCAAATAGGGGCAAGAACACTGGGAAGGCTGAGTTAGTTTATGCCTTGAATTATTTGCACTTGTCCTTGGTAGGTAGAGAGTTTATTTAGAAAGACTTTGATAGTGGTAGATTTCAGAGACCCACTCCTGATGGCTTTTTTTATTTTTTATTTTTTGGAGTGGGGAGGTAATTAGGTTTATTTTATTTATTTATTTAATTTTAA